CTCAAAACTATCAAGAGTATCTAATGCCTCTGAACAATCGAAGTGGCTAATCCAAGCTTAATATTCTAAGCTAATTCCTTTACACAGAAATTGTTTACCCTCAAAAATAGAGCAGATAAAAAATACATAAGCCGAGCCATAGTGTATAACATTCCTGTATCGTATTCATTATGCGCTATGATGAATCAATCTCAATTTGCTTTTACTCTCACCTAGGTTTCTTATACTAATTTTTAGTGTGGNGTGGTCAGTCTCAAGTAAAAGAACAAGTTCACCTGTTGACGCGAGTCAATGTTGTCTGACTCGGTCCGGATTCAGATTCATTGTTGACTACACTTCCATTTTTGTTAAATGTATCCAAAAGCCAAGCCTGGACGTTGGTAAACTCTTTTGCTGGAAGCAGCCGGTTCATGTTTCGTTTGGTTTTAGGCTTTTTACAGTCGTTCCAGTATGTACTTGCTAGTCAAGTCTCCTAATTACTCAGTGGTAGCGGATAGGTTTATGTTACAATAAGATTTTTGTTGACGTTTATGGAATAATAACAACAACATTGAAGAGCTTTTGTGTTGTTTTTCGTACGTCCAAATAGTTCACTTGAGGTTTAAAAACAGGTCTTTTAATTGCAATGTATGAATACAGGCTTACCTAAAAAGATATGCAATGAAGACAACAACAACAGCAACAACATCGAGAAAAGATAGCTATGCTTCTTGATGTTTTAGGAAAATTTCAATAAATTTATGGAAAATTAAAAGTAAAACTAAAAACTAGATTACTTTTTGAGATAAGTGCTTACGCATTTATTGTTTGAGAACTGCTTAGGTGAGTAATTACTGTATTGGTCATATATGATGTTTTCAGCCTAGGTGTGCATAGAGCCGATTTTTTCCTGAGCTCATCAATAGGCACCAAAGTTGGTTGTGTCGTAGATAGTCTATGTGCATCTACATAACTTTGGTAAAATCCTAGCGTCATCATTCAAACTGTTTGGGTCCGAAATTCTCCATTAACTGATGACTAAGAGGCAATGCAATATCTTGAGACATTAGAAAAAAGATTGTACGTTCGAAGATGATAAACGGGTTGCGTATTGCACCAACACGTCTTCATCTGTACAACTCAGTATATCAAACGTTTCATTAGGAGGATGGCCAAGGCCAGGATTATTCATGTTCCAGCATAAGAGATGTACATTTCGATTCCAGAAATTTAAGTAGAATGCCAATGTTACAGTTTTCTACGCACTGCATAGCACTCCTTTCCACCTGGCGTTGTCTTTAATTGTACATCCGGTTCTATCAGGACAGGATTGGATAAACCACCACAAAGATTATCACCTGGTGTGTTTGCCCATATGTTATCAGTAAGCGGACTATTTTCCAATCTATTCATTAATCCTCCCATTCAACCATTTTACTCCGTTCATAACACAGTCAGTGCTTGTAAATGGAGTCTAACTTTAACTTGGGATCGTACAATTTTACAACAGTGCACTTCTATTAAAAGGTAACGGTTAAAACATGCTTCGGTTGCGTTTTAACAGTAATAATTGGGGAAATTCTTTATCCAATTTGAAAATATTTCATCACATTTTCTGACAGGCATATTAAACAAAACACTAGTGAGAGAGCGCCAACCTTATGTGCTGCACAGACCATAAAACGAGAATATCATCCAAGGAAAATGAGAGAATTAAAAGTGATCAGTTCATTTTGAAACATTTCTTATTCTCTTTAACAACGAAGAGCATTTTATCAAAAATTTAAAAACAAAAGCTCATTTCCTATGGCATAAAACCGTGTGTTTTACACACCAATTTGTTTTTGAGATGTACGGATAAATTTATGGAAAACAATTTGGTGACAAATTGCCACAAACCAGTTGAATACAGATGACTGCTCAATGTCAACCAGACTACGAAAGGTGAATGATTTTGATAAAATTAGATCACTACTTGCATCATCAACCGGATGAACTCTTGGTGGATGAATGAATCTATTTGGTTTTTGAGACAGGCCTTATCTTACGGGGTCTGGATTTTTCATTCGACACAGGTCTGCGAAATCGCTGCGGGTGATACAGACGGGGTGGGGGTTCATCAATGATTGTTTTGTAGTCCCCTTAATCACACTTGTAACCCGTTTAAGCATCAGGAAGAATTACATGGTAACGAGATCTATTTGTTCTGCCTGAATAGTGAGAAATTCTAATCGTATTGTCTACAATCGCGCCCCGACTGCGGATGTCCAATCAGGTATATCACCAAGGGGGCAAAAGCCTTATACTCATTCCAACATCGGCAACCGTTTAGATCATTCCTGTTTCTATACACTAAACAGTACAACGGCGTTTTCGTAAGCAAATGGGGAGGTACCAACATTTTCGGTTTTTCTGCACAAATTTTCAGTCAGATGATAAACAGCAACGAAAGTACAGCGGTCGATTTTTATAGTTCTCATTTGTATTTTCCTAAAGGGGTGTGATGCACTTGTTTGTATCAAAGAAGAATTGTGAATGCTGGGTCAATCGTAAATTCGTAAGATTCCTTCGACCAATTATCTTGACTCCGTAATTCTTTAAAACTTGTACACGAGCAATCAGAATACCATCCGCGATTGCTTAGTTTATAATGAAAAAAGTTATTGTTTACGTTCCTATTTGTAAATTGCTCGTGATTGTCCCATATTTTATATCCCCGATCACTCACTCTTTAATGACCGTCACAAAACTGTATCCACTGGCTCCGTGGCTGAGGTTATTTTGTGGCTTTAGATCACCACATATAGACATTACTTTGCCGGACTCCCTTCGATTTATGCTAAACCAGTAACCAAGAGAAATACAAAGCATTATTTCCCTTACTTACAAGAAACTGTTGTGACGATTTTTCCGCAACTGTTGATCTGGTCTTCTGATCCCATCGACTCCTCAGTATAGTATGTATCTATTGTTTGAATGACGCAAAAACTGGAACATTAGTTGAACTTTTAGTGACTGCTTTTGGTAATTATTCAGCTTCATGTATGCGTCCAGTAAACCAAAAACCTCATTTTCTGGCATATTTTGTTTACCAAACACCTGATGCGGGTGGACAAAGTTGACGTGTGTTTCTTCGTGTATTCCAATCTGCATTCATTTTGGCAATCCACTTATACACTGCAATTAAAAGCGTACTTGACAAACCTTCCACTTTTCCTCCTTTCTTTCGGTCTGGACACAAATTACAAAATAGCTTAATCGATGATTAATATTATTTCCGTGAGTTATTTTCACTGGTCATTTACTTTCCTATTCAAACTATACTTTCCCAAGTTGCGGTAATCGCAACGTAGTAGCAGAACACATTTGAACGTAGTTGAAATTAACAAAACTTGGATGCAGATTATTTCCGTCTTTCCCCTAT